TTATGTTTGCCCGATTGTTCTTGATTGATGTTACATTTTTGCAACATATTTAAATTCACTCTCAATGACGAGAAAATAATTTGTTTGGACGAAGTGTGACTGAAATAAAATCATTGACCTTAGTAAATAAATAATCCCAGAAACTGAAACGATGAGATAGAACCTTATTGTAAACTTCATTTGCTTCAGAAATGAACAAGTACGGAAAAAAAAGTCGGCATGTTTTAAGCGCTTTAATTTTAACTCTGAAATTAACTTCCTCCGTTCATTTGTTGCTGACTGTGGATTTTTCCCTCTATAGTTGATTCAACTCTTGTTGGTATCGTCGGCCATTAAGGCAGAGGGATTGCGATTGTTCTTGTTTTCCAGTGGCGCCATCTATGGTCGAAAATTCGATTTGTACCTCACCCATAAGTCACACCCGACATCCGTTTATAAGGCGGATCCATTCATACATTCTCCACATATCGCAATTTTGAACTGAAACAGAGAATGATCAATCTTCAATTCAGTACCGCCAGAGCTATTGAATTGTTATGGGAACATGGAGGACTTTTTGACCCGATAGATTTTAAGTGCACCAGTCACCCTTTACTAAACGGGGAGTCTTCGACCGGCTGGGTTCGAACTCCTGTTCTCACAAATGTGAGTCTAGTGCCCAATCCACCAGGCCATTAATTGAACTCTTGCTATACTCATTAGACCCTAATGCCACTTATCCATACAGAAAACCGGTTACTTTGCCGTTTTTTTCTCTGCCGCTTGTTATGAAATTGATAGTATATATTCTCTTCCGTTTCGGCTTTAAAGTCATTTTCAGGCCTGTTAACAAAATCAAATTTAAGTATCATGAAGATCTTATTTGCTTTGATAATCGCTGGGGCATTTACTGCAATGCTTGTCAGTGTGACCTTAACTGCATCGGGCAATTTAAACATGCTTTGAAGTTTAGAATTAGGGAACAAAATAGATGCGTCCGTTATGATGAATTTGAGAAATCTTCAATTACTTCTCATTATTGGAATCTTAGGCATAAATTCAATTTCGACAAAGCTAAAATTATNGTTACAGATATTTCATTTTTTTCGAAAAAAATGCTGGAATGAAATGTTTTACGTACCAGAGGTTTTTCTCTTTTCCGTCTTGCTATATAAGGGCTTTCCCCCATGCCCACCTCTCCTTAGCGCCGGGAAATAAATTTTACCCTGATTTGCCTCTCTGATTTTTCTTGTTCTGTTTTTCATCTTTTTTCGCTTTGTGAGGTTTTTCCAGTTTTGTTTCTCACCTATATTTTTCCATTTTTCGTTGGCAACGTTGCGTTTTTAAATTCAAATATTTTTGTTTCTTCGCATTCACATCTGACATTTCTTGAAAATGGGCGCCTACTTTTGAAGCTGTTTAAATATGTCAATTATTATTTTTTTTATTTGCTTATTTCTAATTTGAGACGGCCAAGTGGGCGAGGGGTTAGCGTGCCTGACTACGAAGCCAATGGCTGCCGGTTCGAATCCCGCTCTGGTCATGGATGTCTCTCTTTCTCTGTGTTGTCTTCTGATGCGTAAATGTATAAGTGTGGCCCACCCTATAAACGGGTATTTGTGGCAGTGTGGCGTGGGTAATGTTGCTCGCCTCCGTGACTTTGGTTCACTGGTGCTCACTGGGTAACGATAAATGAGCAACACTTGCGGCATCTTCTAAGGCGAAGTACGAAAGTTCAGTGATTTTATTTTAAAAAAAATTCTATAGTAAATGAGGTTTTTAATCCGGTAAAATTGATCTTATTGTAGCCTCAGGAGCATGAAAATACACTAATGGAAAAAATCCCAACAGTAAAAAGAATAGTTTCATAGTAATGAAATTTCTACAATACGTTAGTCTGAGTAACATATTTAATTGATTAAAGTTTTGAGATCATAGGTTAATGCAATTAATGGCAAAACCAATTCAATTGCGAAATATTGGTACATTAATAACCGATGGACGAATTGGTACATTAATAACCAACAGAATTTTGAATGCAAGCATGCAAACGGTTATGCATTGTGTCATACAGATGCCGTATGTCAGTTTGTTGTATTTGGTCAGTCAATAGGAGGACAGTTAATTCTGGTTGCGTATGTTGCTGAAAAGGCCTTCCAATGATGTCCCATGCGTGCTAGATTGGTGAAAGATCTCGTGATATAGCTGGCCGGCAACATATCGACATTCTGTGGAACATGTTGGATTACAACAGCAGCATGAGGGCGAGCGTTATCCTGTTGGAAAATATCCCCTTGATGGCTGCTCATCGATGGCAGCACAACAGGCTCAATCACCAGGTTAGTATCACCAAAACAAATTTGCAGTCAAGGTACTTGAAATAAGGAATAACCACATAGTTATCTTGCTGTCATATGAAATTGCTCTCCAGATCATAACTCCAGGTGTAAGTCCAGTGTGTCTAGGTCGGAATGCAGTGTGTGTAGGCCGGACTGCATCTTTTTTGTATCATACAATTGTTTGAAACTTAGTGCTTAACTCTGGTTGTGCACAATCTATACTTATATATATTTTCCTTATATTGCACCATAAACTCAGGTACGCTCTATCTATTGACAACACTATTATTATTCCTTTTGATAGGTTGTCTTTAGCAATAATTTAAGTAGCATTGAAAAATTTGTTATGCCTTAAGAGTTTTTTTTAAAAATTCATTTCGTTAAGTAGTCTTAAGTGATAGTTTAGGTAATGTTGAATAATTAGTTGTACGTTAAGTAATTATTTAGAATAATTTTGCATTTCTTACAAAAATAAAAACTGTGTAGTTACTGAGCAACTACGGAGAAAATACTCAGTTTCTCAATTATTCTTTTAAAAAGGGATGTAGAAATTTTAAACATAATTTAAACAATAAATAAATTTTATAATTAATAATTAATTAATAAATTAATTCTAAACATGGTGTTGCTTACTGTCCTATTTATTTTTGGTCACGGAGCATACCTTTTTTGGAGCTTCCCCTTATACTGTACTCAAGTTATGGTTCAAAAAGTGCGTGAAGAAGCAGTAAAATCAGTAACGGAGAAATGAAAGAAGGTTTCTATCCCCTCTCACGACAGAGATAGAAATAATTTTAATACTTCTGTTGCCCATACTATGCTGAAATATCCCGAACTTATATTTAGGGTAGTTTGTGTGATTTAATGGCTGCCTGACAGATTTCAAATGTTAAAAGTGCAATACATAAAGAATTTAGACAATATTGAAGCTATAATTGTTAAAATTAATTATCGCAGTTAAACAGTTAAAATTGAAATCAGCGTACTTCCGCGCTGACTAATCCGTTGGCAGCGGCTAGACGGCGATAAACAGTTAGTTTTTAAGCGGTTTGAAGCTAAATGAAGTGTTATGATTAGAAGAGAGATTAAAAAGAATAATAATATTCAAATACAGTTGTGCTGTGCATTCGGCTTGGTTAGCATTAAAGTTTGGGTATTGAATAAGATAATTTTGAAACGTGACTAAGTTGATTGTCAAAGGCAAGTAGTATAAAATAATATAATAATTGACCAATTAATTCATAAGTCATTCCATGGTTAATTTTAAACGGTTCAAAACGCATTCTTCAGTCCAACTTTCTTGCGTTGGTGTTCTGTGGTGATTAATTAAATAAAATTAACGAATAACTAATTTTTATACTATAGTCAGTGTTAAAAATTTGGGGAAAAATTATTTATTGACTGTTTTCATCTATTACGGTTAACTAACCAGTTTTTTTTTAACCAAGTCAATAGGGCCAGCAGTTAATGAGAATCGAGGGCACATTCTTTGAAAGCTGGTAGCTAAGTCATAGGATAAGTATATTAAACCTTATTAAGTTTCTTATCTTCCTGCAGCCATCCTGGGCAAATACTTTAGTCGAAAGGGTTGATTTGTCAATCTCATGACCGATTGGACGGGGGTTCGTATTCCAGCGTTAACGCTGCAATATTTCCACTAGTCCTTCAACACATAGTACTTTGCAGTGTTTTTCACTTCTGAAATGGTGATCCTGGTCTATTGGAATATGAAACTCTGATTTACGCACAAGAGGCTGCACCACAGATTTGTTTCACAAGTAAAATCTAGTATATCCAATTACAATTTTCAAAGCTAATAGGCCATATTCCACGTTTTATTTGACAAAACTCAACCCTTACCTAACTCCAATAAATATTATCGAACGATAAGCCTAAAATAATGCTTAATGTTCAGTAAAATGTCCTTTTTACGGTTTTGAAACCAATCTAGTTATAAATAGTTACAAAACTGTATAGTTTTCTTGGACATAACAAACAATCAAAACAAGCAAACAACACCAATACTACCAAATGCAATATGCCTAAATGTATCTCTTAATCTTTATAATGATGATACAAGATAATGTTGGGGATAATGTTGCCTTATATTAGGGGGACCAGAAAGTAATGTCGTTTCGGTGCATTTTATATTTTTTATCAAGATTTTATTTTTAATCAACAATGTATTTACCCTCGTTAGTAACAACTTTTCAATGTCGGATTGAAAATGAAGAAAAAAATGGATCGAAAAAAATTAATTGGTTCTTAAGACTAACTAATATTTAATGCACCGAAAAGACATTGCATTCCGGTCCCTCTAATATTAAAAACGCACAGATAAAAGTAAATTTCCTAGAAAATTTCATATTAAAAATAAATTTACTAGTAATCAACATGTTTAATTATACAATTACTATGTTTTTTCTTTTATATATATAAATTTGCTACATAAATTTGGAGATGATGAACAAAAATATTTATCTGGAAACAATTTATAATTAGAATAAAAAGAAGTTATTCTCCAATATAGGAACTTTCCAAATGGCATAAGATTGGAGAACAATATCTCACTTAAATAATTTCCGTTAATCGCAGTTCCGTTAATTAATGCTTTAATTCACACAATTGATATAAAGGTTTGTGAAATCGATTTCAAAAAGATATTTGTCTGATACGTTTTCGAGTGGAAAAATGGTTTTCAAAAATTTCTATTGGATATACTCTGCAGAAGAATTCAGCGTTTCATCATTTTCAGCAGCATTGGGAAATAAACTTTTTTGAAAATTAAATTTCATCGTTATTATTATTTACTATAATTTAATTTCAATATTTGCATTTCTTCCGTTTTATTCTGTACATCTAGGTTCAGCGTTGCATTCTGTTTCAACCAAAGTTTTGTAACTGGACTTAAGCAAATGGAATTTTCTGGAATAACGTTTTTTCTCCACCCTGCAAAAATAAAAATTGGAATTACTATATTGATTTATTTTAAAATGATGATTTAAAAAGAATCAATGAATATGGCAAAAAGGAAGTTAAGCTCATAAACTATTAAGAAATTAATTAACAATCACAACATTATCCCTACATCTTTAAGAAAAGAATTAGTCATAGAATGAATTTAAAATCTGCTACTTGAGGTCCTTTTACTTTAAGCGAATTAATTTTTAAAAAAATAAAATTAAGAGTTTAACGAATAATTTGAAATAAATATATCTAAAAAAATTAAGAACCATTATTTTTTCTTTTAAACTTGTCTTTTTAGCCTTAATTAGTCTTAAGACAAATTTTGTGAAAGAATATTTAACAAAACTGCAGTTATCCCGGATTTACTATGAACAAATTTTCTTAAGGCTGAACTAAACTTTTATATCAATGAGATAGTCCTTATTATCCTTTTTAAAACTTATTCACCAATCTATTATCATATTTTTACTGCGTTTTTAATAATTATCTTTCGCGTTTGAGGCGATGAAAATTCACTACCGAAATTCAAGTCACTTTCCAGCGAGCTACAGCACTTAAATCTCCAATGGAATTCTGTGCTTGAAGACATTTTAACCGTTCCTTAATTGCTTCAAGTTGAATTTATTGCTATACCATCGCAAATGAAATATTATTGTCATTTGACATTTTAACTTTTTAATAGAATGACATAAAACTTTAGAATGTTTAAAGTTTAACAGGAGTAGAATGCTGGGGGGTTGACCAATCAAAATACCAGCCGGTTTTTCAGTAGCTAGAGCGTCCAACTGGAGAACTGTATCGAATAATGTCACAAGCTAACAATATTTTCTTAATGGAGTAAGCAAATTCTATCACCCGTTGACCAACTTTATTGACTATTCGGTAGAAACAAAACTATAGAATAATAAAATAAAAATTTAAACACAAATTTTAAAAACTTCACTTTTTAATCAATCTAAAAGGGAGATAATAGTTTTAGCTCGATCAGATAAAATTTGAAAAACGCTGGGTGGACACCGTAAAATATTCCGGATCAAATTACGTTAAAAATTACAGGCCCATTGCATCATACGTGAAATACATTTTCACCATAAAATTTTATACCATAATTTTTTACAATAACAAAAATAATTAGAGCAGTTAATTAGAATAATTATTAGAGTAGTTAATTAGATTTAATTAAAGTATTTACGTTATTCAGTTAGGGACTCTACGGTAACGATTATTGTAAAAATCGCGTTATATCAGATTTTTAGTTCCGTAACACAGTCTGGTAAAAATGGATTGTATTGTAGAAAGTATCGGTACCCTTAGTACCGGTACTCTCAGAGCAAGGGAAATTCTGTTATTTCATACTTTTGCATGAAAAAAGTAATTATTGAAATATTTCCCTTTTTTTCTTATTATTACACTTTCAAAAATAATAGTTTTGAAATTGCATAAATACCTGTTGCAATAACAGCTAAGAAAACAAGGACCAAAGTAAGTATACATCCGATGGTGCTATACCACACAAACGAAATTTTATATAGCACAAAAATTTCCCTGAAAAAAAAAGTTTATTACTTAAAAATATGGTTTGTTAAGAAAACTATTAAAAAGAGACGGAGAAAATGATATTTTTTTTTATTTTTCAGTTCGTGAATCTTCTATCGTTAGGGGAAACACTTTGGCACCATTGTTGTTTAAACTGTCAAGAAATTTTGTCATAAATGAATTCCCAAAGCTCTCAATTACACGAGTTTATTCTTTATCTGCTTGAATTTGTCTGAGAGATACCAATCTAATAAAAATAATTGAGGGTACACAGTGAGGTACATCTACTAATAATCGCTAAGCCTCATGTGTTAGAATCTCCTAGCCGTCGGGCTGACAGTAGGAAGTTTTCGTGGTTTTCTCTTCTATGTAACGAAAATTGTGTGTTAGTTCAATCGAAAAAATCACGACGAAGGCTATTCTGGTCGGCAGTTCAACGCCGATTAAAAATATTCCCTAAGACTTTCTCCCTAGACTATGTTCATATTTTCAGTAAAAATTATGGTCTCATAATGTTTGAATAGTCAGTTTAAAAAAAAAACATTCATCTGTATAATGTATTATTTATGTCTTTTTTCATAACTAAAACATACCCAGGTAAATTAAAGGGTTATTAGCTCCTGGAATGATTGTCTCTTAAATATTATTTGTAATGGTGATGAAACAATCTGAATTCGCATGCTTACTACGACTTGTAAAAACTGAAAAAAAATTCAAATTACGTATGAACATCAGAAGACCAAAAGAAAAAAAAGCAAAGTCCCGGTATATTTACTTACTTATTAGTTGTTTGAGTAGGAATATGAGAATTCTTGGTTGAAAGTATTGAAGAAAAATTAAAAAGACTTGTGGCATTCAGGGGATCACAGTCATCAGTGCTAAGTGGCAACGTAGGGTGAGTATATTCGGAGAATAATGTCCCAAAAGACAGACAAGACATCAAGCTGTATCCCACAATCAGAGCAAAAGAAACACACTAAGCGAAGTAAATTAATTTTGTTTCATAAGCTAGATAAGAGCCAATACATCAATAAATTATCAATGAATATTATTACAAGCAAGCTAACATAAAATTACCAAAATAAAATAGAAATTGCGACTCAGAACTGATGATGGCAGTCATCAGTGCTGAGTGGCAACGCAGGCTGATTGTATTCGGAGAATAAAGTGGCAAAAGACAGATAAGACATCAAGCTGTATCCCACAATCAGAGCAAAAGAAACACACTAAGTGAAGAAAATTAATTTTGCTTCATAAATTAGGTAAAAGCCTATACATTAATAAATTATCAATGAATATTACTACAAGCAAGCTCACATAAAATTACCAAAATAAAATAGAAATTGCGACTCAGAACTGATGATAGCAGTCGTCAGTGCTGAGTGGCAACGTAGGGTGAGTATATTCGGAGAATAATGTCCCAAAAGACAGACAAGAAATCAAGCTGTATCCCACAATCAGAGCAAAAGAAACACACTAAGTGAAGAAAATTAATTTTGCTTCATAAATTAGGTAAAAGCCTATACATTAATAAATTATCAATGAATATTACTACAAGCAAGCTCACATAAAATTACCAAAATAAAATAGAAATTGCGACTCAGAACTGATGATGGCAGTCATCAGTGCTGAGTGGCAACGTAGGCTGATTGTATTCGGAGAATAAAGTGGCAAAAGACAGATAAGACATCAAGCTGTATCCCACAGTCAGAGCAGGTGAAACACACTAAGTGTAATAAATTAATTTTGTTTCATAAGCTAAAGATAAAAGCCAATACATTAATAAACCACCAAAGTATATTATTATAACCAAGTTCACATAAAGTTGCTAAAATAAAATAGACAATGAATTCATAAAATTCCTTTGCTATTGACGCAACCAATAGGGAATACTCCCAGCGAACATTGAGATAATTGCTATCTTCACTTGTTGGAGGATACGGATTTCTTCAAAAGCATTTAGACATAACGAGCAAAATCGTGGAGCATTCTGGGAACAAAAATACCGTATGTCCGTGTAAAGATTAGACAGATAGTGTTCTGACATGATGCATGAAATGTAGTTTAACAAATTTTCTTGCTAGCAACGCTATCTGGTGATGAATTCAGTTACTTATTTCGTTACTAAATTTATATTTGGGGAGAAAAGAAATGGTTTCCTAAGCAGAATGTGAGACACCACGTATTTCTATATCTTTTCGATTCTCGTTAAATTTAACAAGAAGCGGCCATTTTGGACGCTCCCCGGTAGAATTATAACATAAATGATGTGGATTATCACATTTTCGTCCAAAATTACTACTCTTTTGTAGGGCTTGATTTTAATTGCTTTTTAAGATTATTTTGGAGAAACGTGAATCCTTAAAAAAAATGTAGCACACATGAAAATAAAATTTTTGACTTATGAAACGTTACTTACATGAATACTATTAAATGCACATCACATTTTCATAAATGTTTACATCATTAAAAATTAATAGTGCAACATGATAGTATATAAACTTCATTTGTTTAAAAACAATTATGACGGTGGTAAAAGACAACATGTTTTGTGAGTTCAAAAATAGATGCCCATTCTCAAGACTTGCTAGACATGTATGATTTATTTTAGCAAATATTAATTAAATAATGTATTAATTAATATAATTAATTGGCACTTTTGAGCGTTCATAAGATATCCACTTTTACCACCTTCTTTCCTTTTTTTAAGCAAATGAAGTTTATATTTAATCTTTTATATCTTTCCACTTCAGTTTCTTGTGATTACTATTCATTTAATGGTTCGCCGTATTAGCTCAATTTTTCTAATTCACTATTAGAATTTTTATTCTAAACTTATGGTTAAATAACCGACAGCAGTCTGTCCATCTAATTTACCTGAAGTTTACGGTAAAGGGCATTTTTTACTTTTATGGTTTTGAAACCATTTATAGTTACTATGGTTGAGAAACCATGAATACAAAACTGTACGTTTTTGTTACCGTTTACAACTAGCAGGGATTCAAAACCGCAAAAAAAGAAATCTAACTGGACATTGGAGATAGTTTAGCAGCTTTATGGTGCTGCCATCTATGCGTAAATGAGAGTATCGTATTTTAATAGTCTAGGGTCACAAACCGAAAAGCGCAAATCACTGGAAACTCTTTATGCGTTGTAAGGAATGGGGGAAATATTGTAGTGTCAACGTTGGAACGTTGGAATATTTTTTTTGTTGATCATGAGATTGACAGATAAGACCTTTTAGCTATAATATATATCCATCTGAAAGGATTTAAGTGGCTTCAGCAGGTGTGCCTAGTTGGTGCGATAAAATTCTGGTTGTTTAACCGTATTAGGTAAAAGCAGTTAATAAACAGTTATTCTCACAGTTAACAGTTTAAATTCCATCTTATTTATGGTTATTTGACTGTTTGGTTTGAATATGATAAAATTATAATTGAACAAATTGTCATTTAAAGATTTTTTGAGAAATTTCTAACAATGTAGAAACTAGTTACACTATTTAATACAGAATTTTTTTTAAAAAAAAGCAGAATATTTATTAACATTTCTTAAATATTCTCTTCTTCAAATAGAAAAAAAAGAAGGAATTTAAGCTTCCAGGCCTTTAATTTTTATACTTAAAATAATCATGGAAAGTTAATATTTGTGCTTCATATTAACGAAATTAATTTAACGTGAAAGTTTTATTATTAGATCAAATTAATACATTTAATAATTATTTAACTGTACCTTATCTGAAGCCTTTGTTGTTAATACCCCAACTGCAAAAATAGCAAGCATAGGTCCTTCCAACGAGCTTACCATAACGTTCATCAGCTGCAAAAGACTCCTAACTTCCATGAAGCAAAAGCTAAGACCTACGCATAATCCTCCATAAACTAAAGCTTAAAAAAGAATAAATAAATGAAAATTTTAAGAGAACAAGGAATAAATCAAAGTGCATAAATTAAGACAATTTGGAATGAAGTTAAAAATCAAATTAATATAGCAAAGGAGAAAACTATAAAGATAATGCCTATTACAGTCATTTATATTACATATAAGCCGAAAAATTTATAATCTATAGTTTCTTTAAGGGATTTTAATTGTCAAAGTTTTCATTTGAACTTAAACACATCGTTTTGAAGTTTTATTTTCACATTTTGGACTTTAACTGATCAGCTTCAGTAATAAAATAAATAAATAAATTCGTGCATAATAAGTACGCGTCTTCAAGATTTCCATAGATGGATTACCTTTTAGGTATGATCCCAAAATTGTCGCCACATTCTGGCAACTATTACATGGTTGGTATGGTAAATAATACGATGGACATCGCCCATGCGATGAAAAACAGTTCGTGCAATGCTAAGGCATGTGCGTATTAAATTATGAAGTTGATCTTGGGAGAGATTACTCCAAGCAATAAGCAATGCTTACTGAAGTTCCGTTACACATGTAGGAGGTAGTTGAGCTGCAATTCGTCCGCCAAATATGTCCTACACATGCTCTATCCGATTCATGTTGGGTGAGAATCCTAGCCCTTCCATGCGATGTTTGCTAGTGAGGACGGAGACTGTCATCCATAAATATAAATTAGGAGCCCCTGAAAAACAATCATGTAGTTCCAGAATGAAGTCGCGATAAATTTGGCCTGTCGTAGTTCCGATTTTAACATGCATTTTCGGACAACATTACACAAACCCATTGCAATGGTGTTCACATTGCTTGTTCTCTACAACAGGCTAATCGCCTGCGACGGTGACTTGCCGTGATTTTAGCTCATTGAACTGGTCAGCGAGCATATAAATTAGTCTTTCCCAAACGTCTCTACGCGTTTTGCTTAGAAACTGTTGCACCCGTGACTGCAGATAGCTGATGAGATAGCTCGTATAATGTGGTACGTCTACTTCTTTATAGTTATTGCCTAATGCTGGTCTTCATATGGCGTTGTAACTCCGGAATGACTTGTACTGTAACGTATACTGCCATTTCGCCCGTGACTGCAGATAGCTGATAAAATAGGTCGGATACTGTGGTACGTCTACTTCTTTATAGTTATTGCCTAATGCTGGTCTTCATATGGCGTTGTAACTCGGCAATGACTTGTACTGTAACGTATACTGTCATTTCCGTAATCTTGAAATCATAGCCAAAGCCAAGAAATGATACTTTGAGAAAGTCCAAGCACCTTGGATACTTTCATATGAGTACGCCCATATTCCTGGAGATCGATAATTCTACCATGTAAAAACTTATTCACATGAGTCCTCTGTTTCATAACTACAATTATTTATATTTTACCTTAAATCAACGAAACACATTATGTTTCATAAGGATTACCATTTTGGCTAGCAGCTAATATTTCATAGTTAAATTTCGTGTCTCTCCATTCATTATTTTTCAACATATTTCATTTTTTTTCTAGCCCTGAATTAATATCTGCTGTACTTATTAGCTAAAATCTAAAATTATATCTGAACTTACTAATTTTAAAATGGTTAAATGTCTTTTAAACTACGAATGGCTTTGAATGACTCTGTTGAAAATATGCAAAATTTATCTAAAACTTTAATAATTTTGATTAGAGCACCAAACTAGTACTCAAATGGCATTGTTATTTAACTAGAATAGTTGCGTACTCTTAAACTAAACAGTTTTGAAAACAATAAAACCCAAAAAAGGGCAAGGGGATTTTATTTAACTGAAATTCCTATTTTTCTAGCAACTTACATAATATTTTGGCACACCACACTACTTGTATTTCTGACATATTGCCTCTTCTATAAAGTGGCTTTATAATATCTATTACAGTCACACTGGCGATCGAGTTCAGGCACGAAGATATAGTACTGAGCGCTGCACTGAAAAGACCAGCAATACACAGTCCTGTCATACCAGGGATCCAACTAAATGTATTCACAATATAAGCTGGCACAATCTGAAATAAGTAAAAAAATGTAATTAGCTTTTACTTAAATTGCTATGAAATCAACCAAGTAAAAAATGATAAAATAAAAAACTGGTTATTTAATATAATATTAAATATTAATTACTGGAAAGATTATTGAATTGGAATAACTGAAATGTAAGCGATGTACATTTTTCAAGCATTTTTGAATTATGTGAATTGTTTAAAAAAAAATCCACAACTCATCAAATTAAATCAAATCAAATAATATTGTCAATGCTCTGTTCATAAGTGCATAAGAAATAAAATACTGTTCAAAAACAATTGCCTTTATGCTCTTCTGTGTTATCCATTAACAATAACTTTCCAATATAAATTATTTCATTAAAGAGGTAAAACAGGAAAAGGAGTAAATGGGGACTGGTACAAGTTAAATCTGTAGGCTCACAAAGTCATCCATGTCCCCATAACAAATTATGCCACTGGGGGAACTGAATTAGAGATTAATTGTTCTCTGGTTGAGGTCAAAATTACGATCTGTGGATGAATTAATGGATGTATAAATGGGTACGGTGTATAAACGGGTGTGACGTGGGGATGTGGCAGAAGTGAAATTCTTGTTCATAGATGGCACTATTGGAAAACAAGAAAATATCGCAACCTTGCTTTAAGGGCCTATGATAACAGCAACATAAAAATAACCTGAAGAAAAAAACCCGTAATACATTTTAAGTATTTGAAATATTATAATAACATTTCTACAGGTGGAATTTTTACATAAAACTATTCTTTAGTACTATTTTCTGATATGCACCACAGTTTCGGGAAATTTCAATTAAATAACATAGCAAAACTCAGTAACATCTTCTTTTCTACGAGGAAATTGTAATTATTTCACCATAGAATAATTAGAAATTGTGGCTTATTCATGTCATCACAACCACTAGAATTACATAGTAACATTTTTATGATATTCTTTTAATGTTGGACCAAAGTCTTTGTCATGTGTACATAACTTAATTTTTCTTAGTTTGATCAGTGTTTGTTTAGTGTAATTTTTTTCTTCAAAATACTGCTAATAACTTACCGATAATAACCGCTTTAACTTCGATACCATGCTACGTTGAAGCATTCTTATTGCCATACTTACATTTATTTACGTGAATATATAGTCCTACTTAACAAAAAAATAAATTCAATTTTATATCTTTTGAAGTTTTCAGAATATTATGTTTCAATATTCAGTCGAATATTTTGAGTGTCTTTTTTGGGCTCAATATTTATCAAATTTTAAATATATAAAACTCAGTACTAAAACGCGTTTAAACCTTTTTTTGTTCAAATTACTCCTGTTAACATAATTTTTCGTGTTAAATAATAAACATGCGTACATAATTTTTTTAAACTTTTGTAAAATTCAAATATGGCTGCTAAGGACGTAATGCAATGTGTTGGGTTTATAATGGTCCCAGCTTTTAATTAAAAAAAAAAAAATGTCTAAATATTAACANATTAAAACTTATTTGCATATTACTGGGTACTGAGTCTATATTTATTGAGAAAATCGAAGAAAACAAACAAAATTTGTCTTCCAAAGAATTAAAATCTTTAAACCTTGTTTCAAATTCTGTTCTAAGATTTGAAATTTTTTCTGCGCATTTTTGATACGATGCAGTATCCCTGGAATGGCAGGTGCCGCAAGCCAATTACAATTTTACATTTTCGCGCATACAGTTTAAAATTATCCGTATAGTTTATAAATAAAGTATATTATAATTTTATATGCTATGCTTTTTATACTTTCTAATTCACATTTCTATTTTATTTTTACTTTGCGTCGGATATATTGACTGGGTTGCAAAAATGTTCATCTCGGGCCGCATGTGGCCCGCGGGCAGCGAGTTTGACACCCCTGATTTACAACTATCATGGTTACTGGATATTGGAGCTAGGCTTTTCATAAAGTAATGCGCATTGGACTTAGGTTGCGGTTCAGTTATGCTTTATCAAATGAAGCGTGGAATAGTTAGAATGAATATCATCTGGCTGTTTTACCTATCGTAAGAGTAGTATCGTAATACGAGACTTTTGGGTCTTAAGCTGCTTTATGGTGCTGTCATCTATGCGTAAATAAGTTTATCCTAATTGGCAAAAATTAATTGGCCTAATTGGCCAGGGGGAGAAATTGATGTGTGGAGGACGCTGAAAACGCTTCATATGTTGAAGAGAGTAGAAGAAATATTGTGGTGTCAACGCTAGGACTCAACCTCTCCCGTCCTGTCTGTCATGAGATCGGCAGATTAAGCCTCTCGGCTATAATATATACACAACTGCAAAGAACCTAGTGGCTATATCTATGGTTATACAGTGGTTTTGTCTACGTTATACAATCTAATCTATGGTTAGTGGACTGTTCTGTTTAAATATGGTAAAAGAACAATAAAATAAATTGTTATTTAGCAATTTTTTCCTGGAAATTTTTGACTGAATATTATTCAGAAAATTAACATCTAAGGTAACATTTACTGACGTGTTTAAAAAAACTAAAATATAACATTTTAGTAAAAAAAAATCGTTTAAATAAGAAGATAATAGAAAAGCAAAGCAATATAGAATTTTTAAAATTGGATGATGCAAGAAAATATTATACCAATCAAATAAAAATTAATATCATCTTCACGTAAAATTTATCTTTAATAATGTAGCAAATATTAATGTTAGTTTACTAGTAGTTTGTAAAAGTGATCTAAACCCACATATTGCTATATTTGTTGGATACGGATATGATATAGATATTTTTGCTATAAGTAAAATACAACTTTGTTCTAAACTGTTAAAAATATTATAACATATTGAACCATAATACCATGTAAATTTTTTCCTTTTAATAGCGTGAACTTGACTTGTAAACTTGAACAAAATACTGTTCACATACTTTACAAAAAAAAATGCGCAATTTTGAAATGTTTTGAATTTTAAACTTACTTGATCATACCTATCCAATCCAGTTTGATCTTTGTTTAGAATAGGATCACATTTGTAATAAATTGAGTATAATACCAAACCAAACAGATTATTAGCAATAAACACAATGAACATAGGCAAAACGCTTATTTGTTGTGTGCTGAAAGAAAAAAACATGTCATCTAAATCAAGTAAAAATATTAAGTCATAAGATATTAAAACTCTTTGCTTAGAATATATGATAAATATCTATTTTTTTATAGTAAAGCTCAAATTTATAAAAATCTACAGCACGTTTTAACGTTAAACCTGTTAGCACGTTTTCAACTTGAATTTAAAACTACACAGTTAAATTTTCAAGTTGGTAGTTTTCTGTTATGTTTTTTTAGTTTCTCGTGAGCCGCTGCTCAGAAGTTGCCAAGATTTGGTGATTATTCTGCCACAGATCAAGATATGGAAATCACCCCTAATTTTTATGTTTCAATACATCTAGAATGTTCTTTTTCACTAATTGGCGTAAAGTTACCATTTCTGTTATTTAGTTGCACTTAAATTTATAATTGCAGCAAGATGTAATACACATAAGAATAAATAAAGTCATTTTAACAATTCAATATAGAGTAATAATCATTAATTAACACACACAATATTTCTTAAAATAAAATTAGTTTGTTAATTAATCATCCAAACAGCGCAAGTTGAATATTAATATGTAATGAAATGAGGTTTAACGAAGCAGAAGTGCATAGAAGTAAAATATTATTAAATTATTCTGTACAATTGACAGATTTGTGTACAACTCCTTATGAGAACATAATTCTCATTATTATACATTTAAAAACATAAATTCCTCTTAATAACAAGTTACTTCTATTTCTGTGGAATTTTCAACAGCGTTCGAACGAAATCATACTTTCACCTTCATATAAACAAAATAATTCGATCGCTAGACAGTTGAAAAATTTACGCCAAGATTGGCGAGAATAATTCATGAGTTGGGTGTACAGTGAGTTGGGTGTAAATTTATCATTTATTAAAGTTTATGTTTAGCTTAACCATTCAAAGCGTGTATGTTTCAAATTTCACAATAAAGCAATTTTATTAAAATTTTGTAAAAAAAGATTAATTGTCTCATACGATTTTTACACGAATTTGAATTATTATTTTCCTTTGCTTTAATGTAGTTTAGATAATTAATTTATAAAACTAAGAATTGGAAGCAATTATCCTTCATTTGTAAATAACAAAGTCAAAAAAAATTTTTTTTTAAGAAATTCGTTTAACTTAAGTAGCAGGTTCGAAGCATTTCTGAAGAAAAATTTTAATATAAAAATGTTTGGAGGAAGCGTTTTAACTCTAAGTTATTAAGAACATTCATTCATCATATAGTTGTACTAATTTGCGTGTTAATTGTTAGAATTATATAACATCAACTTCGTTGTTTTAGTGCTATTGCATAACTTAGACTCTAGGCTTCAGAGGATTTTTTGCATTTTATAAGGAAATGTATGTTCGTGTTATCATTATAATGTTAAGAATAAATAGCTTGTAACATTCAATTTCGTTTTGTAATTATCTCTAGGAAATATTTGAAGGAAGAAATTAATAAATGACTTTAAAAAAGGAAACAATAAATGAATAAAGAAACATATAAGTATGATATATTTTTCAACCATTTGTTGTACCTTGCATGCCTATTTTAGTTACGCTGAATATACTCTGACTCTATTTACAAACGCATCTCTGGGTCTATAAAATGTTGAGTCCCACAGTGAACGGTTCCCGGTAGACACGATTCTCATTAGAACGACGAAATCAAGCATTACAGGCTGTTGCCAGTTAGCGGGTGGGTGACCATTTTGATCAACATACGTTGGGACCGAGGGTGAGCCGTATCGATCCTCTTTAAACTGTTCTACCGTAAAGTGATCGACTTCGTGCTCGGGTCGTTGGGCCCCCAAAGGGGAGGAGCTATCCCCTCTGCAGAGGAGCGAAGGTTGGTGTTGTTTGTTGCTATCTCGAAAACACCGATAATATTCTACATAAAGACATTTCCAAAATCACTAAGAGCACGAAGGCATTTCTATTCTACGTGATGTATGTATATTTTTAATCTTTTGTAATATATATATATATCTGAGTGTGTGTGTGTGTGCATCCTAAATTAATTGTATCGTAATGTAATGTAACTTTGATGTAATGTTAATCATCTTTGCCTCTTTATCATCACAAAAACTTAACCGGAAATTTTTCGTTCTATATGAACAAATCTAAACACTAATACCAGATGTATTGAGTGACACTTAAAGAATAGTAATGTATTTAAAACTTACGATTTGGCTCGAGCAACGGTACTTAAACTTAGAACTCTTTGCACTTCTACTTGATTGGTTCCGTAATAACAGAGTCCAAACATAAGTCCACGGCAGAATGAACCCCAAACACCTAAGCGTTTCGTCAAGTCCAGCCGGAGACTAAAAAAGAGCGATTTTTTATTAAGTTAATTCGGAATTAAAATTTACAATTACATTAAAAAGAAATCATATTTAAAATCAGGCAATTTTATATGATGTATTAGAAGAAAACATTCAGAAATAATTTGACAATACTTGTAAAATGTCTATAAATAAAACTATAAATCGGGGGAAAACTTCACGGCCAAATGTTTGGTGGACAAAACTTCGAGATCAAAACTTCTCCGATCCATAACTTTGCGACTATAAAACAACGCTGATTTAAAACTTCATCAAAGTAGAACTCAGCAGGCAAGGGTGTAGCTAGAAAGAATTTTTTAGAACGAAAGAATTGTCTAGTGAAACAACACAAATAATAAACACTTATCGTTATGTTAAAAATTGTTCAATGATGGACATATTTCCTGTTAATAAATTTGATCACGATAATCTGTCTACAAACAGCGTTTTCAGAAACATGCACTAAAATCTGATGTTCATAAAAAAATGAGAGATATGCAGTGGACTTTTGTTATTTTGAACTTTTAATCTGTAATATTTTCTTTAAAAAAACTATCTATAAATTTTTAATCAGCTTGTCTCAAAAGCTTTTTTTAGTGATATAGATATCTATGCAAGGATGAACAAGTCAAATTGTTACATTATAACAAGAAAAAAATACTATACTTTGAAAAGGCAACTAAATACTGCTTCGAATTTATAAGTGGCATTTTTAAATTCTAAAAACATTGTTACATTTTGTTCACAATGAATGAAGGAATATTATAATACTTTGTTAGATTTCAATTTACTTTTAATTGTTAAAGTAAACTATTTGTTAATAACTTTTGGTGTAAAATTTTTTCTAAAACAGCAAGCCAAGTGTTGCCTTCTCTTTAATTGGATAGTAACCTTTTCTCAATAAATCGCAGATCGTCGGGCTAACAAAGCGGGGGTGCCATCCTCTCCGGAGAGGATCAAAATTGTGATGTCGTGTCTTCGGATCATCCTCCGGGATGTTTCCCAGGCCGTCGCCAACAGTCCATTGTGCAGCTCTAGTGCGACGTAAATTAACAACAACAACAACATCAATAAATTGCTTAATTATAATGGGATACTTGCAAGTGACGTAGTGTGGGTATCTCTATCCTGATTGGTAGTTGAAACGGGGCATTTTTTTATGTTAAGAACTGTTCTTTCCATTCTATATCGAGTAAGCCAAGCCCATCAAGCATCAATTCTCTTAAATGATACATTCTATATTTTTACACAAAGATTATTTTACAAAGATCTCAATTCTTTTACTATATATTTCTTACTTACACAAATTACTTTGTGTAATTTATGACACAAAGACAGACATGAAACCCTTTAGAATATAAACGAACTAATTATAAATTGAAGTTGCCACGCACGCAAAACAAAAATATATCACGGTTACTATAAAATACATAAATAATAAATCTAAGTTAAGTAAAAAACGTAGACGAGGAAGAATTATATTTCAATAATTACGATGTGTGATAGGGCATTGTATATAATTAACTTCACATTAATTAGCATTCTGACTTTTGTGAGGAATTATACATGCCATTTTGTGCTTAGCTTGACATTAACATGCCAATTTGTGCTTATATACGATCAGCCGGTGCTGAATTCATAGTTCACATGTGTGGGTATACATAGTCTTCTTCTCATTGAAGTTCAAGTAACCAATTGCTTCAATAACATTTACTGTATGAAATATTATCTATGTATTAGTTATTTAATAAACGAAATAATTAATTTTAAAGTGCACTCGATATTTGAAATAGTTTTTTTTTCTTTCTGTAAGTTGCATAAATGTTTTATAAACTTATGACGCCCCCTAAGATGGTAGTGTCATATAAGTATATTTAATTAATTTACATCATTGTAACCTAGGTTGCAAGCTAATTATTTCACTTCATGCTAATTCAAATTTTTCTAAAAAACACTCATCTCACTTTCCCGGACTCATAACGCAACGAATAACTCAGCGCACATTATAACCTAATGAATAAAACGAAATCACAGTAATGCTTAACTGTAGGTTATATTATCCTTTTAAAATTCGTAAACATTGTAGTCATCTTGTAAAAATTGTATTTTTGGTTAATTTCATCCCAAGATGCAGAAAAACTAACAAATTATATCAAATTTACAAAAAATTTTTAAAAAATTAAATAAATATGGAAACGCAGTCAAATTAAATTCAAAACTTACTTCACAATGTAAATTTAAAATGTGTATAAAAATATTATTCAAATTTCAGTTGCTTATTAAAATCATTATAAAATTCTTATTAATAATTGAAGTAATAAAATATTTAAAAAAATGCAATTTAATATTCTTATTTCATTAAAATTAAACTAGTTTTAAGAATTATTAGTTTTTAGAATTATTAGTTATTATAATTTAACGCTTTCAAACATTAAATTTTCTAAATTTACATTAAGCGTTTTTTATTCTAGATTTTAAATTAAAATTTTAAGAAAAACTATAATAAATAATGAAATGTTTTCAAAAATTAGAATAATTAGGAATTAAAAGCTTCCGAGCATTGACTTCATTTCTAAATTAATATTAATCCTTTTTATTCTATTGTTTTAATTAAAATAATAAAATATAAAAAATTATTTAATTTAATATGTTTATTCTTATTAAAATTAAGTTAATTATGAACTTAAATTATATGAAATATTTTCTTTTAAAATTAATGCATAAATTAATTATAATTTAATGTTTAATAATTTCAGTATTTTCCCGATCGAAGTTTTGTCCACGCGAAGTTTTATACTTGTGAAGACCTATTATCTAAAACTATCATTCGAATTATATTTTAAAATTATAAAGTGCACTTTATTTCAATTTTATAAAAAGAGCAATAAAATCGTAAAATCAAACATTACTATCAATAGTGATTTGCGTTTTATCCATTTTAGGTAAAGGATAGAAGTTTTATAAATTTTATGATTGTGGTATTATTTTCATTGAAATATGCTTAAATTACATTCATTAAGACCCATTAAAAAACTTTTGTGCCTGAAAAATTGTATTTTTTTAAATATATAATGCTCTGCATATGTGCCATCAGCCCAATAAAAGGACGAATCAGTTATTTGAAAATTGTAACATTTGTTTGATTTATTTAAAGATCTTGTAACTTTTATTCATCATGAAAACATATAATAAATCGCAAAAGGAATAATTATACATTTTCAAATATTCAAATTTGTCATATGCACATCATTGCAGTGATATCACATATTTTTGTCACATACATATGGTAAACGAATGACTAATCCCAAATGGAATAATTACAGATTTTCAAATATTCGAATTTGTCACATGCATATCATTTCAATACATTTATATCACAAGCATTTGCCACATACATATGATAAACATAAAACTAAATTCAAATTTAATAATTATAAGTTTTTAAATATTGAAATCTGTCTATAATTATTTCAAATTAAAGAAAAAAACAAGCGTAGTTTAAAAATTACTTAACATTACGTAGTTCAAAATTACCGAAATAGTATAATTCAATTGAAATCGGAATCCTTGACAATAGCAGAAAAATAAAATAAATAAAAAATGTACGCCGCAGTTTTAATAAAAAATGCTCACTGAAATGGTGCGTTTACTCACTTTTGGCCGGAAGTGGGTTAAAGTAATTATACGCACCATATTAGATACATTTAAAGTAACCGAACATATTTCTGAGATAACTGTGCGTATATGTACTCTAATTCTTGTGTACACTTAAAAATGAGAATACTTACTCAAAAAAATCATCTAATCGATTCCCTTCTCTTGCTCGTTGATAAATGTTAGTTACTCCTCCTGCATCTTTAATGCCAGCTATGTATAAAGCTGCGGTGCATGTTAATATGAGTATGGCTTGGAAAACATCTGTCCAAAGAACAGCTTTTAATCCTCCCTATAAATGTTTCAGAACGTTTCTAAATGACACATAGGAATGACTCAAGGAAGCTATTTTAAAACTTTTCTTCCTATTAACATATTAACATGATAATGTATAGAATTCATTTAAATTCTATCTATTGACCATTACTTAAAAGAGAGCAAGTTTGAAAACTTAAAAGTACGTGAAGAAAACAAAAATTAAACTATTAATTAAAAGTGAGTATTATTCGGAAAAAACGCAACATTTATATAAATGAAGTAGACTTACTTTTATCAATTATTTTTAAACAGCAGCTTAACTTTACGAGCAAAAAACAACTTGAATGTCTATAGAATGTTACTTTGAATACCTTCTTAGAAGAATTCAATCGTCACATTCATTAACCCCTTACCGATCGGTTAATTTTCAAGAAAACGGTCATAAAAGTGCCTATTTTTCTTATCCTATCACAAATAGACGTATTTGATTAGTGCTGACATCTAGTTTAGAATAAACTAACTATCTACAATTGCCTTAAAAATATCCTGATACTGCCAGCTGGTGTGTAAAATGAGAAATAGAATGTTTTCCGAGCAAAAGAACTGAATTAGTTTTATTCTTATTGGCGCGTTACTAATGAGCACTGCAGCCCGGAAATATCACGGGAGCGAGAAATAGAGGGCGAAACCTCACTCCGTCATTTTCACGGGAGCGAGAAGGAAGGGGTTAATCAGTTCTGATACTCTAATTAATCACTGCTAATATTATTGTATACACTGATTATTTAATGCTAATATTAAGTGCTCATATTTAGCGCTAATATTTAGTGCTAGTATTAAAATACATAACAATGAATAATTCAACAAAATAAATGTACATTTTAAGGTCATGGATATAAAACAGTTGAGAAAAAGTGGGCGGGTAACCATACTTTGGGTAAATAACAAATCTCGTCAGTAAAGTGGTTTCATTCATTCACCTCTTAATATTAATAATGCATTCTTTGTTTTCAGATATTTTTTTTATTTTCAGGAATTTATTTTCATTCTCAGCCATTCATTTACAGCATTGGTTCTCAACGGGGGCGATACCGCCCCCCTGGGGGCGGTGGGACTATGCTGAGGGGTGGTGAACTTGTTTTGGGCAGTAGGGGGGCGTTGGGTATGTTTTGGGCGGTAGGGGGGCGTTAAGCATGCTTTGTCATTCAAATTTGATTTTAAAACTTACAAATAAAATTATTAAATTAAGATTAATTTAATAAAAAAAATTTTAATATAGAAAAAAAGATTAAATTAATATAATAAATAAAGATTATCCTATACACTATTTGAAACAGCAATAAAACGAACTTATACGACACCTATTCTTCGATCTGAATTAACACAGCTCAGCGTATGAGCCAGTAGTTTTTGCCTCTGACTCATTCAAGCCATTTGATGGAAATTGCAGTACATGCGCTTTCAGTATGAATGTTTGATTGGACCCGTGTTTCTTATAATGACTTTCGTTAGCTTTTTTGCGGTATTTTCCCCAGTTTCGATTAGATCTCATAGTTTATTTGGTCAGGTACGTACGCGAATTAGTTCTTTATAGTATCATAAATTATTTATTAATTTTGAGAAATAGTTGATCTTCTTTCATCGTTTGTATTTTGCTGACACCAACAATGTCGGTTGACAAAAAGAAGTGTCATCAATACAGTGTCACGTACTTGAAGTTGGGATTTGTTCAATTACTGTTGAACTCTCAATTACCTATGTGTTTACTTTGTAATAAAGTTTTATCTAATGAGGTAAGGAAATCTTACCGTTAGCAAGAGCATTTGCAAAAAACTAGATATAGATTTGTCATTTTTGACGAACGTCTTTTTTCACGTTTCTGAAGGCACCTTCGGTCTCAGGGTTACTAGTAACGTCATCACAAAAATGCGACGATGGTTTGATCGCTTCTTATAATATATCAAAATTTATTGCTAAATCTGGGAAAG